TAGATATATTATCCATGTTGGATTACAATAACTTTTTTTCCTATTGTCTGCCTTCTATTTCATCATCATCTAGACACATACATAGATATATATGTGTTTTTCATATAAGAGGAAACCATATGATATTTAAGCTTGTGTGTCTCAGTTATTTAATTCACTTTATGGTTTTGGGTGTAGAGTGAAAGAGGAGCATAATTTCTTTTTTTTTTTTTTGGTTTTTTTCCGGTACCAGGAATTGAACTCACGATGTTGTGCTTGCCAGGCAGGTGCTGTGCCGCTGAGCTAAATCCCCAGCCCCTAGGAGCATAATTTCAAATGTTGTCCCTCCGAGCAATATTCCTCAAATAATTTCTCCTTTCCTACTGAAATGTATACTTTTGTTAGATACCAAGGTAATATACATACGCAGGTCTCTTTCTGAGCTATTTCACTGATCATGGTATATCTATTTCAGTGCCAACACCACAATATCTTAATTTCTACACATCAATAATAGGCCCCTCTTTCCAACTTTGTGCCTCAAAAGTGTCTTGGTAATTAATCCCATCAAAGGACACAAAGAATATTATTGTAATTTTGATTGGAATTTCATTGAATTCTCACAATTCTTTTGTGTAGAGGGCTTAAATTTTTTGTTAGATTTATTCCTAGATATGAATGTGACATTTCCCGGCTCCAGTGTCTTAGTTACATCTCTAGATGTTTGCTATGACACAAAATTGCTGTATATTAATCTTATTGTCAATTATTTACTAAACTGTCATTGCTGAATTTATAGATTGGGGTGTTTCTATGCCAAAAACCATATTATTTATAAATAAATTTTATACCTTTTTTTCCCAAGTCTTTTATTTCTGAAATTTCTTTTTGTCATACTGTACTTATACAACCTTTAAGAAAATACTGACTTTAAGTGGTGCTTCATTTATTTGGGTATGTATGTATGTATGTATGTATGTACGTATTTATTTATTTAGGTTTTGTGTTGGTCTTGAACTTACTTTATAATCCAGGCTGGCCTTGAACTTGCAGCAATCCTCTTGCCTCAGCCTCCCAAGTGTTGGGATTACAGGCATGCACCATTACACCTGGTTTGTATTTTTTTTAAAACAGGCAAAACTTTTATCTTTGTTTTAAGCTTTACTTTTTGGCTTCTCTGGCTTAATTTACAGCAAACAAATAATTAAGTACAAGCAATAATTAAAAAGCAGCCGTGTCTTAGAGCCTTAACATTTAAAATACTACATATCTATACTTCATCATATACTAACCAAAAATTTAAATGCAGTCAAAAGTCATACAATTTTTTAAAGAAGTTGAACAGATTCATTTTGCTTCACTGCTGGAAGTCTTATCAGAATTCTAAACAAGATCACCATCCTTCCCTGTAGCAAGCTGTGCTTTTCCATCCAGCTTCTGCCAATGTCCTGAAACCTGTCAGTGCCAAGCTAGTTTAAGATCCTGGGTGACATATTTGTCAGCTGTTTTGTCTCAGCATAGCTGGGAATGGCGAAAGCATTTATTGCCAGAGATATCTGAACACCAGGATTATTAAAATGGATCAATTCCCTGGTATGCAAATATTATTATATATTTAACATGGATACTGCTCATTCCTTTTTAAAAAAATATTTTATAGTACATGTTTATAGTATGTAATGTTTACATTCCTTGTGGGGAGTTGGTACATTGTACAGAACAAATCCTAATCCTGTTTTTTTTATCCTCTTTCCCTCCATTCCTAATTTTGTAAAGGAGAACTGGGGATTTTTATTATATTATAACAGAGATTGTTGGTTATATCACTTGAGAGTAGCTCCTTTTTACCAATGCACAATTGTGTCTGATATTTGGCAAGTTTCTGTTACTTTATGATGGGTTCTTTTATTTTGTTGGAAATGGGGCTTCACGGGGGAGCCAGAGTTGGCATTAAAGGCAGACTAGCTGAGAGACCAGTTTCTGATTTTAAAAGGAAAGCTTCTAACATTCAACTATTGAGGAAAAACTTTTTTTTGGTAGATAAAATTGGCTCTCTCTTGTTCCTACCTTTGTAATCTTAAAATACGAATAGGTACTGAATTTTATCAAATTGTCTATTGAGGTTATTCCTTTTTAATACATTAATATCTTTAGTTACATATATGAATTTTCCACTATAAAACTATGCTAGCGTATCTGTCATAAATCCAATGGATGTGTTCTAGCCATCTTTTTATACACAACTAAATTTTATTTGCTAATATTTTGAGAATTTTTACATACACTATATATATATATATATATATAAACTAGCACTTTATATATATATATGAATGAATGAAATGAAACTGTAATTTCTTCTATGTTTTTGGTGCTCCTACTGGTCTTAAAGAATAAAAGGGAAGGTCTATCAATTTGCCTTAATGAACAAGTAGAATTATAAATAACCTCTGGGAACCTAATCTACATAAGTTCAAGAACTTCAAAATTGGCTACAACTTCTAACTTATACTTGTTCTAAAATTTAAGAATATACTTTTATGCCTACAAAAGAGGTTGCCCTTTTAGTCAATACCTCAAATGGTTCTAACAAAGATGACCTACTGACATGCTTTGAAAAATAGCCCCCTGGCAGAGAGAACTCCTGGCTTCCATTTGCTCTCACAGCAGTCTAGAGGTAGAACTGTGACAGGCTCCAGAGTACAACAATCTACATCTTTTCATGGGGGATATGAACCCTATAATTCATCTTAATTAAACACTTAACATACAATGTGGCCATTAACTTTTGCTGTTTGGGGTGAGACAACAAAAATAGTACTAATTTCTTTTTCTTCACCATTTCACAGGGAGAAGATCTGTTCTTACTGTGGATCTTAGCAACACTTGCTTTTTTATTAAATTGAGATTTCAAAGGAGTAATTTTATAGCTTCCAAACTGGCCCATCTAAATTGCCAACCTCATTCCTCTTGTGCTTTGGGGCCAGCCATTAAGTAAAACAGGGGTTAAATGCAAGCACTATGATATTATGGTAGTCAGTATGATGACTGAGATAGCTACTAAGCAACTAATGGACAGGTAGTGTATAGAGGATGAAGTGGGTACGCTGGACAAAGGGATAAATGTGCAGAATAGAGCAGGATGGCACTATATCTTATCACACTACTAAGAATGGTGGGCAATTATAATTTATGAGTTACTGGTTTTAGGAAGTTTAACTTTTTCAGACTGTAGTTGACCATGGATAACAAACTGCAGAAAGCAAAACTGTAACGAAAGGGGGATTCCTGTATTGCATGATGGAACTGCTAGTGAAAGAGCTGAAGGAGATAAATGCCCTTCCTTCGCTATAGTACTTATAAGCAGGATGCACATGGGTGCTTAGTTGCCCAGGTCAGTCTTGGTATATGCTTACTGTTTCCTATTCATTAAAAAAATCCCAGTTTAGGTAAGTTTTAGCCCTCCTCTGGGAGCCTTCATATCATACTGTCTTTTGGTTTTTTATGACAGGATAAGGTTGAGACCACTTGTAAGATTTATACAACTTCTCTTCCCCCATGTCAATCCATTCCCCACGCTCTAAAGGCTAAATGAAAACTAGAATTTAAGAAAATTTGAGACGGGGGAAATGTTTATGCTTAAGTCCAGGCTAAATATCCATGCATTTTATTCCATTCATAATTCATCAGACACAAAATCTACGTAAGAATCTAATTATTACCAAAATTTGTTTTGCTTATACAGTCATTATAGCTATGGTGAACTGTAGGAATTCTGGAATGTGAATCATAGAAAAAAGAATTTCTATCACAACATATAATGAAAATAATGGTCTTTTACTGTTCGAACTTAGATCCAAGATAGGTCTCCTATTGTCACAAATGGGTATGTACCAACTAAGGAATAAAAAGCTCCCTTTGAGGTACTAGTTATATGTAATGCCTAGTTCTAATGTCATTTTTCTATTATTATTTTCATTGAAACTAAGTTCTCTACCTTCATTTCAACCAGTTTGTTACAAACATTTATTTTCAGAAGTCCAATTTACATACCAAAATTCATGAATAAGTAGTTTATCCTATCTTCCAAAGAAGAGTTTAAAATAAGCATTCAATGAGCATTATTTCAAAAAATTGTATAGAAAATATAAAAGCTAGGTTTTTAAACGCTTATACTAACAATATGAAAATAAAATATACTGGCAGTACCTTATGCATGAAAACTTACAATTTTGTTCACATATCAAACAGTAAATTACTGGATTTAACCTGAACTTGAGAGGTATCAATCTAAAAGTATGGGTGGTTATTTATTTCTATGTTATCTAAGCTTGAAAACCCTTTTCTTTAGTTCTAATACTACAATGAGTTCCAATTCTTTCTTTGCAATTCCTTTCTTTTTCTTTCTTTATAATTCCATCATACCACTGCTACCATCACATCACAGCAATAACAGCCACTTATGGACCTTGATGGTCTCTAGTAAAAGATTCCCTTGTTCAGCTATTTTACCTAACATACAAATCAAATATGTCCAAATTAAGTGTCCAAGATTTTCTTCAATCTGTATCCATCCTTTCTGATACATTCTTCAACTAGCCTATCACATGAATACTAAGCTGAAGCAGATCTAAACAACATTCTCTCAAAGACCTTAATACAGTGCCTGGAAGATAACAGATATCAAAAATATTTAAAAGATTAATAATTAAAAGGCTTCATGTTTTTTTTGTTACCTAGCTATGGCTATTGTTTTGTTTTTTTTTTTTAGCTATGGCTATTGTAATGACAGAGTTTCATGGTATTCACAGAGAAACGTCCTTACTATTTTCTTAATGATATAATAAATATTAATTACTTTTAGAAAAACCCATGACAAAACAAATGAGTTCAAAGCAATTAAATCAGACCTTTGGATTTCTCTTTTCTTTAGCAAAATAGTAGCAAACTCTGGTTATATCCAATAGAGGGATCAGAGAAAAAAACAGTATTCTTAATTTTATCAAAATTTAATTACTAACCTGTTGAGGAGTAATGGTATCTCTATAACTTGGTAAGATTTTTAGAGTGACACTTCCACTAATATTTTTCAGTAATTCTTGCAATTCCTTAGGATTGTTTCCAACTTCATGGCCATTGACTTCTTTAATGATATCACCAACATGAAGTAAACCTTGTCGGTCTATCATTCCTCCATGAAGGATTCGGGCAATTACCAGATCATTATTTTCAACCCTAAATGTTACACCCTATAGGAAACAATAATTACTTATTTTATTAAGAAGAAACATATAAATATTCATGAATATATAATAAAATATTCTAAAACTAGTTAAGGGCATTGTTCTTACTTTTCCCATGTTCTTTCCTATTTTAATATTTTAATCCCATCAAATATGTGCAACTGTGACAACATATAATACTCCATCAAAATTGGCTTTCATAGTAAGGTTAACCCTTAAAAAGAAACACACTAGTATCTGGTCTATATTCCACAAGATAAAAGGAAGCTCAAGGAAGCAAGCAAAGGTATTTGTTTATTTTGATGGACTTTTATCTTTTACCTAGCTTTCCAATGTTTCCATTTAACTTTCATAGAATCCACAAATACTTAATTTTAGCAGGGGACAGCAACCTTCACTATCTTCTAGGGCCCTACTATGGCTTCAGTTTTTAGTATAATTCTGTGTTTTGATATCACCATTGGCAAGTAACCTAAATTCAGTTTTTCAAAAGATTAGAATAGAGTAGTTATCTTTTGAATTTTTTTGCTACTCATTGGTCTATTTCTAGCTTCTAATTTAGGTTAAATTTTCATTTTGGTTTTGCTTCATAAAATAAATTAAGTTGATAGAACATCAGTATGTATTTCAATATGGGGTAAAACGACTGATAAATCACACATGAACACAATGTTCACACTAATACAGTATGAAAAAAAAAAAAACTATTACACTAGTGACTAAGCCACAAATGATGTTATATTTTAGATTTAAGAAGGCATTGATTTATCTACTCACCAATGGTTCCCCAGCTCTTTTGTGAATACCAAGAATACGAATGGCATCTACCGGTAATAACTGATTATTGATAGAATTATTCATTTCTGGGCTTGATGGAGGTGACTCGTAACACTTTGATGCCACAATATCGTGTGCTTCCAAGAGTGACTAGAAGTCAAAACACCATGTGGTTATTAGCTACTGATGGAATAAGTTACTAAAAATAATTTGTTAGTTCATTATCCCAGCAGAGTGCTAAGAATTTCCAATGCACACATTATCAAATTCCCAAACATGAATCAAATCAAACATAGAATCTTTTAAAAAGTATAAAAATATATAGTTTAATTTATTATCCCCATGCAATATTCTTGCTTTAGATTTGAACAGATAGAATTCAGCCATACTTTTTTAATGCGGCATGCTCACTAGAAATCAAACCCAAGTTTCCAAGTCTAGGCACAGAAGGCACTGAATTTCACTACCATCGGTGTCGTCCTCAACATGTAGACTTATCATTAATCTCTATTTACTAGGCATCCTGAAAATACAAATGACAAGGACCCCAATTTTTACCCTTCCATTGCTAAATTAGTAATATGATATCCTTTTTACATGTATAAAATGTCTCATAAAGATGTCCAATAGAAAAAAAATTAGCATCTTATATGAATCATGAGAAATTTTATATCACCAATTAAATTTTAGTCTATATAAGACATATTTTTGATGGGAAAAATGAGTCAGTAAGAATGCTGGATGTAATGTAGTTTTTAACCTCTATTTTTATTACGTATGTCCTGTCCTCACAGGCGGTTTTATCCAGCTTTCCAGGAACTTCTTGGTTTTTATTTTATATATTTTTTTTATATTTAATTTTTTTCATTCCTTGTCCTAAGAGTAAGGTACACTGTAACTGTACAGACTCATCATAAAGCTAAGTATACAATAATCTGAGTGAATAGAATATAAGCTAAAAAAAAACCCCAGGAAAATAAAATATCGAAAGAAGGGAACAAATAGCAAGTATAAGACAAAGAATCTTAATATTGGCTTTTTGGCAGTTCCTAGTGATTCTATGAAATAATTTATAAGAAACTAGAGAAAAAATTCACAAAGAAAAAGAAACTCACAAATCCATATGTAAGGATTCTTCAAAGTTATTCAAAGCTCCAACCTGTGCTGTTTCGTTTTTTAATCCTATCTTTTCTTTTTAGGCAGTTCTCATTCCCATGACTTGAACCATTACTTAAATGTTACTAACTCCCAGTTTTACATGTCTGGTTCAAAACTCTCATGAGCTTCAGATTCATAACTAAAACTGTCCATAACTGGATAAAGTCATGACAGTTTGAAAACTAAGAGTAATTGTACAGAACTGAAACAATGAATTAATGAAAATTTCCCAAGTCTACATTTCTATTTAAATCACAGAAGGGCTGAAAAATTCATTTATCACAACTTTTTTGGTACCCTGGATTGAGCCCAGGGCCTTCTCAGTGAGCTACATTCCCAGTCCCCCCACCCTTTTTTTATTTTGAGCTAAGGTCTTGTTAAGACAATAGGAAGTTGTCTAGCCTGGGAATGAATTTGGCACCCCTTTGCTTCAGCTTCCCAGAGTGCTGACATCACTGTTGTGTACCACTACACCTAGCATTTAAACAACTCTTTACTTTTAAAACTGGTAAACAGAATTATTTCCCAGCTTTTTCAGTTGGAAATGCACTACAAAACAACAAGGTAGCTGATGAGAAGCTCTACATTTAAGAGGAATACTAGCTAATAAATGTAGAATGAGAAAATTGGGAAAGTGTCATATTGCAAACTTTAATGAAAAATATTGATTTAGGCATGGATTATTAATTTGTGTTCATCAAAAGGTAAATGAATGGTGGACAGGTAATAGCATTTTATCATGTCAGAATAACAACACATTAGGTTACTTCTTGGTAAAGAGTACTTCCTAGAAAAGTTCAAAGAAAAGATGAGACTGTCATCACCTTTAATCTAGGGAATAATCTCTGCATCAACAGTGGCAGAGCAACCAGGTAGTATAAATTTTCTGATTTAGTCAAATATATGCTGCATTATGTCATTTAAGATGCACTCCAGCTCCAAATAATGAACTTGAATCATCATTACAGGAAATAGAAGAGATAACAACACAGCAGGAAACAACCACAGGAATCCACAAAGTGGGCCTGGACAATGGGCTGGTCTCTTCAATAGGTCAACATCATATAAAGGGGGAGAGTAGGCTTTCCAGGGCACTCAACCAAATGCCACACATAGACCTGGGAGGAAATTCATATTAACAATAACGCCCTGCCTCTAAAGTTTCCACTTGTCCTCTGGATAGTGCCTGAATAATTTAGTGTATCTTATAAAGGAGTCAATCAGCTGACTCTTGAAGAAAGAGTGTTTTTGACATGTATCCATGTTTTTGTACATAAGACACTGGTTTATGTAGGAAACACCTCACCATTAATCTTTATGTTCTGCAATACCATTTTTGGAGATACATATTTGCATGAGAAAAAGCAGACAGGTATTACATTTGGTTTTCAGGGCTAACATTTGTAGTGCAAAAAAGGTGACTCTTTACAGTAGCATGCTTCTATCTTAGCAACATTCTCTCCCATTAAAATGCAAGTTTCTCCCAGTAGAGATACAGGGCTGGCTATATTTCTGGGAGTTCTATTCTTTTCAGTTACTTTATTTCCCTAACATTCCCCAGTATCATATTACCTTAATTGCTACAGGTTAAAAAGGAATTTTCTGTCCTTCCTCTGAAATGGGTTCCTGTTTATGAAACTCATGCACAGGGCAATGACTAAACTGTACTTCTTTTGGTCCAATATCTGTGGAACACAGTATGTTATGTACATTTCCACCCTTGGACAGCTTTATTGTTGTTCCACAGTCACTGCAGCACCCCAATCTTCAGAAGCACAGCTAAAGAATATTCCTTACTGGGCCCAAGCAGGACTGCGAAGCAGAATGATAGCAAAGAAGAAAGAAATCCATTCTTGTAGTGAGGAAATGCTGCTATAATGTGCTCTGACAGTTCATCAAGGTTACGGTTTTCTTTAATTGCACAAAGGAAAATCCACGGTGATGTAACTTTTGTAATGGACACTGTACATATATGCAGCATGTAAGTATGTATAGTTATGTTTGATAGTTTACATATTTTCAGCTTATCAGGATATTCACATACTTAAGATGGAAGTTACATACTTATATAAGCCAGTGGTGGCAAATCTATGGCCCATGCATTATTGTGTCTTTCTTTCTTTTCTTTTCTTTCTTTCTTTTTTGAGACAGGGTCTCATTTTATAGCTCAAGCTGGCCTTGGACTCACTATGTAGTTGTGGTGATTCTCCTGCCTCAGCCTTCTAAGTGCTGGGACTATGCTCCACCATGCCCGACTTTTTTTTTTTTTTTTTTTTTTTTTAAGACAAAAGATGTCAATATATGAGTTGCTTTTTCTAAACTAAAACCTCAGCATTCAGGTTTAATTACAGTGCCAGCACTTTGTGATAAATAAGTAGGTTTTGGGTTACAGTTTGGCACTTTATTCTAAAAGGTTCCCCATGACTGGTATTAACCATGGCCCCAAATAATCTTCAAAAGAAAAACCACCTTAAACTGGAATGTAATTACTAAATGAGAATGCTGTGGAACACAGGGGACCAGGGAGAAGAGCAACAGGAGGTTACCTGGAAGTGAGGTTCTTTGAGTATACCAACCAGTTCTGCCACATTTTCATCCACATTTATTAGAGGAGTGATATCTTCAAGAATTTCATTGACTAATTCCAAGTTATTGTCACTGACAGCTTCTAATTTTGAATCTTCAAGCCTCTCATGAGCCTAAAAAGACAACAGTATATTAAAGTAATAGTAACTACTTCTTTTACCCTAGACCAGTTTATTTATTCATTTACTTCTTTTTCATAGTTTTAGAAGATATTACTTAGAGGTATAAGTCACCTAAACTAGACAACATTTCAGTCTGAGGAAATATAGAAAGTTTATAGCAAATATATCGTGCAATGTAATGAACTTTGGCTTCTATTTCTATCATGTCATGAAAAGCTCTTTTTTTTTTTTTTTGAAAAGCTCATTTTTGTAACTATCCCTAAAAAAACTGAACAGCTCAGATACTTACTAAAAACCATACTCCATTTCCAACCACCAGCAGGATTTCCTAGTGACCTTCTAGTTGAGGCTTGAACTCTAGATGCTAGTGTTTATGTTTTACTACATGACTAAGCATAACAAAAACATAACCAAGGCAAAGAATAATAACAATTATATATTAATATGACAGTTATATATGTTAACATTTTAAAAAATGATAAAAAACACTTTGGAAATTCCAGAATCTGAAAGATTCTATTTCTCAAGTCTGGAAATCATTGAATGTAATTCAGTGGTAGAGCGCTTGCCTAGCATGCATAAGGCCCTGAGTTTGATTCCCGTCACTGTAGAAAGAAGTCAGAGCATAGAGCAGTTAAGTCAAGCTTTAGAGCAGGTGGTTCTTGAGCTCGACTCTAATCGACCTCATGGGAATGACTCTTCCTGAAATATCACCATCTTTTCCACAGAATATATACTGTGAATCATTGTCACAGCAAATTAGTAAACTCAATTATCCTCTCTCTCTCACAGCAGGAATAAAGCAGAGTTTTAAATCTGAATTGAAAATGAACATTAAAAAGATTGAACTTTTAAGTATTCTTTGCTTTTCTGATAAATGTCTGCTGTTTGATTTTGAAGACTGAAAAATGACAACTATTAAGATTTCATTCATAAAGTATATGATGATAAATCTTATATTTATATTTTATGTCAAGCAGTAAAAGTAGTAACTAAATTTTAACAGATTTCTGTAAAAATCTGCATATTATATCTACCACCAGAGTGGATTCTTTACAGTCCAAATACAAAATTCTAAATTTTAAAAAGACCATCTTTTTGTTTGAATGCACTTTTTCTAGATGATTCATAAGAGTAAAATAACTTTTTTTTTCTCTCTTTTTTTTTTGTTTTTAAATACAGGGCCTTGCTCTGTTGCCCAGGCTGGTCTCAAACTCACAATCCTGCCTCAGCCTCCAGTGTAACTGGGATTACAAGCATTCACAACATTCAATCCTCTTATGGTAATATACGAAGAAAGCTTTTAAGAAGGAAGAAAGAACCTTAACATTTATTGAGGGCTTTCCTTTTTTGGTGCGAATGTACTTGCTATGTATTCTCTATGTGCATGTATGTATGTGTGTATACTCAGAAGAGGGAGATATGCTTATCATTTTCACGGATGAAGGTATTGATACAAAAAAGTGAAGTGATTGCTCAAGTTCATACTGCTGATTAATGGCAGAGACAGTGTAGTTAATATTAAGATTTGAGCTCTTATCTACTAAAACATTTGACTTTATCACTAAAGAATTGCTCTAAAATCATCTCGCAGTTAATAATTCAATCCAACATATAACACATTATTCTCACTTAAAAGTGTGAGATACAGTTTCACTGGCTGCTAGTCTAGTTGTTGCTTCTTAGCATGACTCTTCCAGAGAATGTGAAATTATTTTTGTTCCTTCATATTCTACCCATAGTTATTTGATATTCCTATAGTTTAGAAAAATCTTTTTTGATGTTCACTTCTTTCCCCTAAGAAAGAGCTATAGTAGAACATCTGTTTCTTTAGGAAGCAGATTATGACTGGATGAAGCTACAGAAACCTGACCACAAAACTGTGTTATGTCTATACAATGGATTTTATGTTAACTTTACAAAGAGTAAAGATGCTCTAGTTACTGATACAGAAACTTATCCCAAAAATCAAGGTCTAGAACAGGTGGTATAAACCCATAATCTATATCATAGTATTTACTAGTGAAAAGCTTTTCCACTCAGTTCAATGTTTGTTCTAAAGTTTCCAGCCAGGGCAATTAGACAGAGAACAAAGAGGCATCCATATTGGAAAATGCTAAAGTTATCTTCAGCAGTAGATGATATGATCCCATATTTAGCAAATCCTAAGGATTTTCCAATGCTAACATGTAGAAACACAATTATGTATACATTATATCCTCAAACCTTGTTGAATTTATTTATTGGTTCTAGTAGTATCTTCATGGACTTCTTTGGATTTTGTTTTATAAATTATGCTACAATGTGAAATGGTATGAAGTAGTTAAAAAATAAAATTAAGATATTTTATGTACAATAGCATCAAAAAAATACAATACTCAGGAGTAAATTTAACAAAAAACTCTAAAAGTTACACTCTGAAAACTATAAAGCACTGTTGAAAGAGATGTAAGACAATTTAAATAAATGGAAAATTTCCATGTTTGTGGACACTGTTACGATGGCAGTACTCCCTAGAGGATCTACAAAGTCAATTTAATACTATTGGCATCACAGATGACTTCTTTGTGCAAACTGACAAAGTAATTCTAAAATCCTTATGTAGTTGCAAAGCACCAGACTAGCCAAAACAATGCTGCAAAAGAGCAAATAAGAATGATGCATACTGATTTCAAAACATGCTAATGGCAACAGTTATCAAGACAGTGTACATCTGCCACAAGAAGAGCCAAAAAAAAAAAAAAAAGTTCAATGGATAGAGTTGAGAGGCCAAAATTAAACCTATACATCAGTAATAAACTTACATGCTAGACAAGGGTAACAAAACTATTCAACAGGGAAAAGAATAGGCACATATAAAAGAGAAAAACTGGAACTTTAGTTCATACCATTTTTTAAAAAAACCTCTCAAAATGATGTAAGTTAAAACTATAAAGCTCTTAGGAAATATAGGGGTAAATTTTCCTTTACGATTTGACACACACTTCTTATACATGACATCAAAATAACAAGTAATAAACTATTAGGGTGGCTGGGGATTTAGCTCAGCGGCACAGTGCATGCCTGGCAAGGTCAAGGTCGCGAGTTCAATTTCCGGTACTGGAAAAAAAAAAAAAACAACAAAAAAATAAATAAATAAAAACAAAACAAACCTATTAGGTAAGATTTCATCTTAAAAGCTTTGGCATTTCAAAAGATACTAAAAAGAAAGTTGAAAGATAAATGAGAGAAAATATTTATAAATCCTTTATCTGACAAGGAAGTTGTGTCAAGAATATATTATTTAAAACTCCGTAATAAAAACAAAAGTAACACAACTTTAAAAGGCGCAAAGTAGGGCCAAGGACATAGCTCAGGGACACAAGTGCCTGCCTGGTAAGTTGCAAAGTCCTGAGTTTGATTCCCAGTACTAAGAAAAAAGGGCAAAGTAGCTGAGTAGATAGTTCTCCAAAGAATATACACCAATGGTCAAAAAGCACATGAAAAGATGCTCAATACTATTAGTATGAGGGAAATGCAAATCAAAATCAAAATGACAAAGAAATGCCACTCCACAACCATTAGACTAGTTAGAATAAAAAGTCAGGTAAGTGTGGGAGAGGATGCAGAGAAATCAGAATGGTTGTAGAGTGCTGTTTGTAATAGTACTCAAACTCTTGTGAGTTTCACCTTCAGAAGACCTATTGAGTTTTCACAGTGGAAACTAGAAGAAAACCCTTTCATACTTGTAGGAAGAAGAAAGGAAAATTAGCTACTTTTGAATATATTCAGATAACTTGGTCTTTTTTAACAAGGTTTACCTCAAGGGAAACTATTTTTTCAGAGCCAAACCAGCCCCAGGGAAGGGATATATCCAACTCTATTACCATCTAGGATTCTTGTGCCACCTAAGCTGTGAGAAAACTGAAGATTCAAACCTAATTATAGGACTACAGAACAATCATTTTCCCTTATACTTTATCACATCACAGGGCTACGGTATAGTAACAGAAATACAGCTGAAATAACTGCACATCTCAGACTTTATTTAATAAGAAGTCTCTAGGGAAATCCAATGACACAAGAAACAAACAAAAAAATGATACCAGGAGAAATTTTAGCTTTTGACATTTACAGCTACAGCAACATAAGCACAGCCCAACTTGTAGGTAGAAAGACATAAACCTCACACTGAAAGCTTTTTTACTTCAGGTCTTTTTACTCAGCATATCAAGTCCAGTTTTCAACAAAAATATTAAAACAAACAGTATCAAAATTCAACAAAAATATCAAAACAAGTAGTGTGAAAACAGCACACATCAAAACCAAACTCAGACACAGTAGCATGTTGCATTATCAAGCTGTGAATATAAACCAACTATGACTAACATGCTAAGGGATTTTATACAAAAAGTAGAAATCATAAAGAATAGACAAGTAATTAAAGAGAGGTGAAAAACCAAGGAAAAAAAATCAAATGTAAATGACAGAAATAAGAAACACTAACCAAAATGAAAAATGTCAATAAGCTCATAATGGACACAGCTAAAAAAACAAATCAGTATACTTGAAGATATAGCAATAGAAACCCCTAAAACTGAAATGCAAAGAGAAAAAAAAATAAAAAAGCACAGACTAATCAAGAATTGTGAGACAATGACAAAAGACCTACATTAACAGAGGTGTAATGATAATAGTAGAAGGATAAGAAAAACAAAAAACAAAAGAAACGTGCAGCAAAAGTAACTGAGAATTTTCTAAAATCAATGACAAAACTAACACTGTTCAAGATAAACACTAAAAAATATAAAAATAGGCATATCATATTCAGACTCCAGAAAACCAAAGACAAAGATAAAACCTTGAAAGAGGCTAGAGGGAGATTTAAAAAAAAAAGTTCTTGGAAGAGCAAGGATAAAAATTCAATTGGACTTCTCTTCAGAAACCATGCAAAAAGAGAGTACAATATTTAAATTACTGAAAGAAAAAAACCCCACCAACCTAGAATTTGC